GCTGTAAATGTGAAAGTTACAGGGAAAAAAAACTGAGGTATAAACTTCAAGCTTTAAAATGACAGTACAGCAGGTATAGGAAATTATACTTCTGTTAACTCAAAGGAAAAGACTAAAGAAAGTTAGGGTCTTTCCAAAACCATTTCCACGCAATCAGCCTCTAAGTACTGCTCTGAAAATGAAGACATGTCTGTTCCCGTCCTCAAATAATCACAATAAAATACAGTAAAAGCACAACAACTCCCACAGAGATGGATAGAAAGCTTGCTGGATTCATCCCACCCCACACAAGTTTTCTTATCATTCCTTACATAGGAAGCGATAATAAAGGGTGACCACTGTTTGCTAAAGGTTTTATGTTTTACTTTTTCATACTATACCTTTGTGAGACATTATTAGCTAGTTTCCGATTGCCAAACAAAAAGATCAAAATGTGATTATTAACTTACAATAAAATAATTTAATAACCAATTCGTACACAGCTTTTTTTATCTGAACTTTTCACCTTTCCAGGGGGTCAAGTGAGGCTAGTGGAATTCTCTGGAAAATCCGAGATGACCTACGAATACAAACCCGAACCGCAAGCTGAAAGCACTGCCTTCACACAACCTAAGAGCAGGAGACAGTGCTGAGTGCTGCTGTCCAACTGTAGGGCTGTGGAAAAATGGGTAAACTGATCCTCCAGACCCTTTCAAGCACATTCAGCAACTACAAAGAGTTCCATGAGACTGTTCTGTAAATGAACAGACAAGCACACTCCTTAAAATTTGCACTAGACTTGAACTAAATGACGGAGCTTACAAAATCGGGCAAGGGTTTCTAATTTCAGGAATATTGAGGTCTTTAACCATCAGAAAAGTTAACTGGAAATGGAAAGAAAACACACTTAGATTGGAGCTGCCAGAAGAGACGCTTTCAAGATTTTGGCACATTCAAAAACGCCAGCTGGTATAGCTCAAGCTGATCCTCAGAAGGTGGATTATGAAAGAATGTGACTAAAACATGTTAGGGCCAAGCAGAGAAATAAGGGCTTTTCATTAAAAAAAAAAAAATGACAGGAACAACTTAACGAAAACAGAAGGGAAGGTGACACCCCTGAGTGGTGGCAGCTATTTTCAAGCAGTTGCCTGAACATGTTGTTCCAGCCCTGTCCTGTAACATTCTTGTGCATCAGCAGGCCAGGCCTCAATCCAGACACAAGTACTTTGACATACATGCAGGCTGGGCTTTGAATGTGAGAGAGCCACTTGGAAATGCTTAAGCATCATGCTTTGGTGAGGCCTGTTGCTTTACAGGAGGTAAATTCCACGCCGTAAAATATCCACACTCATACAATACACGGTGAAAACAATTCTACGCCAAAGAAGAATGAATCAATAAACAGTAAAGACCTAAGAGCAAGAAAAACAAATATACAAAGCAAATTCTCCTGCTTTCACATTACTTTATCCTAGTTGTCCTTATGAACCCCAGCACACAAAGATGTAAAGTTGCACACATGAAGCAAGCAATTCAAAACATGAAATTATGAAAATATTTGAGTCCTTCTCCAAGTCTTATTTCTGTTACATTTCTGCAAAGCTTAAAATATGGTGTTGAGGACACAGCTAGCAGAAGCATGAGAAGGTACCGTCAGTGTTGCGGAGCAGAGGTCCAGGCAGTATATACAAATGATGGAAGTGAGGCGTGGGGTGTGTGCTGGAGCACATGTAGATACAGAGTGAGGCGTGGGGTGTGTGCTGGAGCACAAGTACATAGGGTACAGAGTGAGGCGTGGAGTGTGTACTGTAACGCAATTACCTGAGGGACTCTGGGCCGCAGAAGGGGTGGAAATGGTGCTGGCAGTGACAGAGTCACAGCGCCCTGTGCTTCCACTGCCACTGGCGCTGGAAGGGGGCGAGGGAGAGGACAGAGGAGATGGGCTGTGCTGGTTGATACACTGGGCCACCGCGAACCCTGAAACACACACCAAGCTTATTATTTTGATACCACACCTGAAGAAGGCTCCACGGCTGAAACGTTGTGTTTTCTTTCTTCTTTTTTTCCGCATGGAATAAACTTGTTCCTTCGCAGCCTACGCATGCTGATGCAGCTACCCACCTGAATTATTTTGATTCTATTTCACAGATAAAAATTGTTTTAGCTTGCCTGAAGAGGGTAATAAAATAACAATATTTCAGCCACTACCACCTGACTCTCTATTTTTAAGGTACAAATTTGATCAAGAAATTAGCAATTAGTATATGATACACTAGATAGTGGACGTCTTGGACATTTTCACAATTTGTGGCTTTAAAGCGTGCAGTTCTGACAGTTTGATTCATTATACACAAAGTATTCCATATATTCAAAGCAAAAAAAGGAAAGAAGTGAAACAAAAATATTCATATGAAAGCAAAATGGAAAAATCATAATTGCTCGCAGAAAGTGAAAGTCCTTGAGTCCCTCAAACTTCTGACTTGACTCCTTTTGAGAATCGTTGGGAAGTGAAAATTGCTGTCCATTAGCAATCCCCAAGCAAGACGAGAGAGCTTCAGTAAATGTGTCAGGAAAGGGGCAAAACTGGCACAAAACCACCGTACAAATGTGAGACTGGGGCAAAATGCCTTCTGACTAAAATTGCTGCCAAAGGTGCTTCCACCAAATATTGAGTTCCCAGGTCTGAATATGTGTTCAATCAATATTTTTCTTTTTTTTTCCTTTAGTTTTCACTGACAATTACCGCAAATCTTAAGAAGTCTTCAGTTTGAACATCTGCCTGTATGTTTGAGACAGTCTGTCAACTGTCTACAAAATTCACTACAAACTGGGCTGCTTTCTGACTCGGACAATGCCATTAGGCACGCATTTACTGAGAAGTTTTACAATTGGAAAAAGGATATGTTTCACAGTCATTACAAAGGCGTTTAAGCATTCCGTCGAGATCTTTTGGAATGGACTCTTCCTACATGCACCGTCTGAAACCTGACTGAAAGGCGTAGGACAATTTCTGAAATTCTGCACATGGCAGATGTCCAACACATTTCTCAGAACCCAGCAAGTGTTACCTCAATTTTTTTTTTTAAAGAAGGAAAACCCAAAAGACAAACGAAAGTTACGAATTAGTCAAAGAATTCCCCTGTTAAATATTCTCTTTAACAACAGAGAGAATCCAGTCACAGATCATGTGAAAGTGATCTGGTCAGTGTGGCCAACTTCCCGCCACTTTCACTGATTAACATGCAGGCAGTGTCATTCATAGGCTTTCAGGCAGGCAGCTTTTACAGGCTGCCAGTGCTGTGCCTTTCCAGATCTCCAGCATCATTTCCTTCTACCAGAAAGCAAAGTTAAAACTGCTGGATGGGTGCAAGTCCTGAAACATACCAGATGAGAAGCTTCTGTAAGACCTCTGAAAACTCACATGAAGAGAGGACTGAATCGAGATACCCGTCTGAGTAACAGAAGGCCTGTTCTACTGCTCACAAACAGTTCTGTAGTTTAATTTAGTAATATTGTCCGTTGCCTCTTTCTGTAAAGAAATATTCCATATTCCTTCCACCATACAGGTAGAGATTTGCAAAGGAAAACCGCTAGATACAACTGCAGCGAGGAAACTGAAATTGCACAGACGAAAGGAATTTTGTTAGGCTGTAACAAGACAAAGCACGTTTCGTAAAAGTCAACGACGGACGGAATTACACAGCTAAAAACAGAACAAAAGTAAAAAGTATTTTGAGTCGACACGTGCATGTTTAGTCTTGCTTTCCACAATGGGAGGTGAGTGCCTTATCCCAAACTAAAAACAATCCTCTTCATTACTTTTGGCATTCAATAACCTAAATTACAGGAGTGCAGATCTCCACAGAAAGTGTTATATAATTGATTAGCAAATATGTGAAACGTTTTAATCAAATAAATAAAAATAGCCCTCACTAGTGTAGATGGATGTGGTGGATCATGAAAATTAACACAAAGCTGCACTTTGGTCTGATAGCATTTATTGGTGCTACACATGGACACACATTTTACAAGATGTTTCTCTGCATAGCTAGCGATGATAAAAATCACTATACATAAATACAATTAGCACAGAACATGCAGGTCCTGCTGTCAAAGTGAAGGGGCCAGCTGCCATCTTTTATTACTTGGCAGTCTCCAAACTATATGTGAAGATTTAAAGATGCAAACTGTACATGTTTCGACATAAAATGGAAACGGAGCCGAGATATGAAAAAAAATATATAATGTCTTCATAACAAAATGGAAGAAATCCAGACTGTCATCTGCCTAGGCTTGCTTATGTCCAGGTTTTTATTCACTACAGAGGATAATTTCAGAATCAGAAAAACTGCAGAGTAATAAGCCACTTCATCTATACAAATGGTAAAATAATTTAGCAAACCATCTGATGACTGAAACAAATCTGAGCTGCACAGGGTAAGCCAATTAATTTCATCAGGCAGGATATATTTTTACAAAACGGCTTGCAAAAAACACAGGGACATCCAGTATAAACCACTGGTTGGAGCCAAGCTTTCTCTGATCATTAATCTAGCCTATACAGATGGAAATACTTGTTCACTTTCCTATACTTTTCTGGATACCATTAAATGTTTCAGAGATACTTTTCTGGATAAAACTGGTCTGGGTGTGGAGACGTGGTGTGGCACTTCAGGAAGAAATGATTAACGATAAAGAAAGCTGTCCCGTTTTCACAATTCATGGGACGAAAAGCTGAAGGGATTTCTGAGTATTATGAGCAGAGTTGGGCTTTCAGTTCTTTATGACTGCAACATTGTTTTGGAAGAAATTGTAAAGATTTTGTTACAACATGCAGAACTGGTGCAGAGACATGCTTGCTGCTTCATGTTTTAGTCTGTGAAGTCTCATTTATAATTTGTTTGGAGTAAGACAAAAAAAATTGCATAAATATTTCAAATGTTCTTGTCTAACAAGGTGCAGATGCTCTATTTACTCACACTTCTGCATACCAGCTAATATAAATTCCTTTTTACTGTAAAATCATACTTAAGAGGAAGCAGTACTCATCCAGATACCCACATTTTTGCTTTGTTTAAAAAACTTCAAAAAAAGAAATGGAACATGAAATTATTCTGATTGTTGTTTTATTTTATATTCATGTTTCATAATTATGAGACAGTGTAATGAACAAGCAATTATGAATCACCGATTGCAGTAAAGAAGCAATGAGACTGATACTGAGCAGAGTGCAGTTATTAGGTTGTGGCAAAAGCTCAGCCTGACAATGTCAATGTGAGAGAGATTACAAGTGCTGTTTAGACTGATGAGTCTTGATGGGATGCTGAATTCCAGGGACCGAACAGTTCCGATTGCCACTGCACTCTGCAGGCATCCTGTTCAGCTGGGCTCGACTCTTTTTTGTTTGTACCCATATCATTCTTCGACCAATGTTCCTGAAGTGAAAGATCTTTGAAAAGGATGACAAAATGAGACCAATATAACCCCACAGATCTCTATGGGGCAGCCTATTGATTAAAGGGCTCAGCTTTGAAAGAGTTCTCTTACATTTCTGGGTAATTTAGTGAGCTGGATCTATAGATCTAGAAGATCTGCTCCTGCTGGCAGCATGTGATTCTCAACATGGGCACTCATTTCTGCTGTTCTTTTTCTCAGGATCAGGCTAATTAGTCAACTACACTTCTGAATTAACAGCCTCCTCCCCCTCGATACTAGTCAACAAAAGAAGCCAGTGCCTACTCAACTATCCTACGTAATAATCGCCAATCTCCAATCATACAGCTACAGTCAATACAGAAAACAATGATTCATGTATTTCTCTTATATACAGTACATTTACTAAGTATTCCTATTTCTCTGAATGGAAAAGTCACAACCATAACTACAGAATGCCTTTTAGCACTGTCAGGTAAAGCCATAAGAAGCACTTGCACTGCGTTAGACATCCACACTAGCATGTTCTTTAATGCACACAAACAGTCTGACATGAATACCACAATTAGGATTGGGAAAATTGAGAAATGAATACTCACAGCGCAGTCATTCACCCTTGTACGCGGGGTGGGGGTGGGGGTGGGGGGGGAACAGGAACAATACCGCTAGGCGGGTGAAAACGAGCGCAGAATTTATCGCATTTTTTTTTACATGTTAAATCTTCGTTTGCAGAGCAGACTAGTATCCACAATCGTTAATCACCGCCATGCTGGAGAAACTGTTCCGCTTCCCATTTAAAAGACAGTTAGGGGTTCGTCCCAGAATTTCAAAGAAATGTTTTCGGATTTCCCGCGCACGGGAGCTGCTCGGAACTAAACTAGAACAGCCCATAAAAACTTTCTGTTGTTGGTCACGCTTCCCTGTGATGATCAGACTGGCGAGTAGGGAAGAGGAAGATGCGAGTGATCCTGGAATGCCGCCAAAGATAATTTCTTTTAACACAACTGGTTACCTAGTTCCACTGCACGTGCTCCTATATGACACAGTAAAGAATTCCAAGGTAGCCCTCGTGTCAAAGACATCGGCCTAATCATATAGAGGAATCCTACTCCGTTGGGCTCCCGAGCAAGGTCCTTAACCCCAACTGCTCCAGGAACGCTGTATAAATGGCTGACCCTGTGCTCTGATCCCAGGCTCTCTCCCTGTCTGTGTGTCTGTGTCTCATGGAGAGCAGGCTGGGGTATGCGAAAAGATCATTTCTAAGGCAAGAAATTGTAAAGGGTTAATAAAGTGATATTAATTATTATTATTATTAGATAGAAAACATCTGTGCCCGGTCAGAGTTCAGAAGAGCGAAGCGGATGCGAGGAGTTTGTTACCTGGCACCTTGTCGACGGAGGCGAAGACGGAGCGCTGCACCGTGGAGTCGCTCAGGCCTCGCCGGGCCTGGTCATAGAAGCGGAAGGGCAGGGGCTGGGCGGTGGCGGCCGAGCTCTGCCCAAAGCCCAGGATGTCCGACGAGGGCTGGACGGGGAGGTCCAACAGGGCTGGCAGAGAGAGAGAGAGAGGGGGGATGTGTTTGCAGTATATGCAAATATTTGATGTCTGTAATATGTCTGTAGATTTTATTTGATTTTTATTTTTTGCTTCATTTCACGTTCATTCTATTTCTATTTGCTTTGCCAACACTGATTGTACCCTTCGGTCATGCTAATAAAGCACCTTGAATTGAACTGAGAGAGAGAGAGGGATGGCACCAGCACTTCCTGGAAAAAGCACCTCACAGTAAGCTCAAGTGTGGTCTGACACAAGGTTCTGTGCTGCAGGGAGGAAGGAAGAGTTGCGATTCTAAGGTTGCCATCAGTGTAACATCACCCATCCCTTATTTTTCATCCCATCCCTTACCATCAGTACATAGATTGTGGATGTACTCTTTAAGTTTGTTAAGCCACATAGCAATAGAGTTACATTGCGTAATGTTCCGCTGACTGATGTTTGCATTCTTTAAGCCAGCATTTTGTTAAGCTGACTTTTGTTTGCGTCTCCTGCTTGCAGAATTGTTTAGTTAGGTGATGGCAGAGCCATCTGACATACAGTACAGGTGGTTGCAACACTCCCTGCATACAGTAATAGGCACATACTTCCCAGGTAACAGTCCGTCATGCAAGCAAGCTCAGCTTACCTGAACGGATTAAAACTCTTCTATTAGGGAACGGACTCTTTTTTTGGAAATGTTGATCATGACGAAAGAGAAGTTAAAACCGATCAATCCCGCACAAGGGGAAGACCTTGAATTTAATGTGTCTTGGCAACGTGTTTAAAACGCCTCGAAGTTTGTAATGCCATCGACAGGTTCACTTCTATAGCGACTGGCACGGAATTGTAAATATGGAACCACGTGACAAAAGTGGCCACTACATACTGCAGGTGCAGAACTTTTTTTTTTTTAGTTTAATGTCATAGAAAAGACAGACACAAGCAGCCAGGCTCCTGACTTACCAGCTATCCTCTGCATTTTCATGCGCCGGGCCTGGATTCTGCCCTTGGCAAGCCTCTGTTTGGCAATGATGCAGCGGATGTGGTCGGCGAAGATGAAATTAGCTTGCAGGATGGGAAAGGGCTTTGCATGGGGATTGGAGGTGGGTTTGTGGATAATGATGCTGAGAGCTCGGCTGTCATCCTCAACCCCTGACACCTGCATGTCCTGTTGGGCAAGAGAGGCGATGGGTGACCGAGACAGAAAAACCTTACGTTCAAATGATGTTGCTGTATTAAAATCGGATCGACCCGATTAGGAGTCAAAGCGTGTAATACAACCTGCAGCAGGCCAGCAAACTTCACCACTCCCCACCCCAGACGCTTAGTTTCAGGTTCCACGAGACTCATCTGGTACACATCCACTGCCAGGAAACGCTGCACTTGAGCACCGTCCTTCGTCACAACCATACAGGCAATCAGGTCACTGTTATCTGCAGAAAACACAACACTGTCTGTATTGATATGCTGTGACTTTGACAACACACACAAGGGATTGCAGACGATTTCCAGAAGAACAACAGAGAGGGGGGTGGGGGGGGAAACATTTTAAAGAAAACCCAACCTCGCCCTATTTCAAAGTATCTATAAAATCTAAAATTTCCATCCTTCCCAAAAAAGGACTGGCAGAAAACCAAGTATTAAATCTTCACTCCTCTGGCAACAATACAGGCCTATTAATATCCATAACACTGTCTCCCCGAGGCAACACACAGCAAATCTGGATGTTGCCAAGCATACATTTCTAGCTGATCATTGGCAAGCAGGTGCAGGAATGTGAATTTGTTCCTGTATTACACATATAATTAAATAACTCATTAGGAGTGTTCTGTACACACTGTACTGCACACAAATTAGTTTTGGACTGCATGTTGCTATCCACAGAATCACGATTTCCACAGCACTAACCATACTTCCTAGTAAACCTGATGGGTTTTGGCCAATACTTCGGTCAGAATTGTGCAATGCAGAACATCAGTTTCCCCCCCTCTAAATGTCAATATTTAAAATTAGCAAAAACATACGCAGTGAACCCCCCCTTTCAAAATGTGGGAAGAATAGCAAATACCTAATGACATACCGCACACAAAAGTTACTATCACGCTAGCACGATGTCTTATTACAATACATTCCTCTAGAACTGTCATCAAGACATTCAATATCCGAGATAAGCACATGGTAAACACCTCAGTTTTTGAATAGATGCCAAAGCTACTTATGGGGAGTTTACAGAACACTCCACTGAGTCATTTTACTCTCGAGCCTTTCACGTCAAACTCACCCGAAAATTACAGTCAATACTGGCATCCCACGGTAATGGGGCTGGCCTTAACTCATCTTGCACCAGAATTCAGCAACAAAATAACCCTTAAGACCAGCCATTCAAGCAGTGTAAAACTACCGAATCACTGAGGTCAGCTTCAGCACCTAATAAACGTCTGACACCAGAATGCAGTTTCACTTTCAAATAACTGGCAAATACAAGGCACCAGTCTTTATAAAAGGAAATTTAAAACCTCACTTCCAGTTTGAGGTCAAAACCTTCTTGCTGAAACACAGGGTCTAATGACTAGCATTTATGTTCCACACAATAACTTATTATACAGGTCTGAAAGCTACAGATCGACAAGAGTCACAATACTCCAGTAATAAACATTTTGCCATTCCTGTACATTGCACAGTTTGTAAGAGGTCAACAGTGAGGTTACCAACAAGACTCTTCTCACCATAACTAAATAGGTAAATAGAGTGCCTTCAGAAAGCACTCACCTTTGGATTGTTTTCATATTTTGCTATGTTGCAAACTCAAAACAGAAATTTATTTACTGTCCATAGAATTTTGTTGTCATGGATCTACACAACTCACTTTATGGAATGAACGTTATGGAAAAGGTTTACGGGTAATTAAAACAACAACACTGAAATGCCTTGATTTGAAAAGTATTCACCCGCTGTGCTATGACACCCTATTTGGAGGCTAAACGCATATCATTTCTTTGGGAGATCACAGTATACTTGAATGGAGTTCACCTGTCGACTGAAACGGAAAGAGCAGAAACTCTACCATGAGGACCAAGGAGCTTTCGGTATAACTACGCGACAGATTTGTGAAGAATTACAGATCTGGGGAGGTGTATAAAACATGTAGGGCGCTAAAAGCTCCCAGGAGCAAAAACGTCCATCATTAGGAAATGGAATGAATGGAGAACTACCCAGACTCTTCATAGAGCAGGACACCCTCCCAAACTGGGCAATAAGGGAGGAAGGACTTTGGTTAGAACTGACCGAGAAATCCAATGGCCGCCCTGACAGAACCTTTGAGCTCCATTGCTGAGATGAGAGAACCTGTCCAGAAGACAACGATCTCTAAAGCACAACTCAGATTTAATCTCTACGGGAGAGTGACAAGATGGATGCTACTCCTGAGTAAACGCCACATGCAGCAACAGCATGCCTGTTTTTTTGCAACAGGTGACACACCCTGTGACCATGAGGCAAAGGATTCTGTAGTTGTAATGCACTAGAAAACAAAAACCAAACTCATTGGCATGAATGAAAAGTACTATGCCTGGTGCAAACTGAACACAGCTCATCAACTGTGTGGCAGTCTCCGCGATGAAGCACGATGGCGGCAACATCATCTTAAGGGGATGCTTTTCAGCGGCAGGGACTGGGTCACTTGTCGGGACAGAGAGAACAATGAATGGAGACAAATACAAGCAAATTCTCATGGACACCCTGCCTCAGCCAGCGGAAAAAAACTCAGACTGGGGCGAAGAATTGTAGAATCGAAGTTGTAATTGTTGCAAAGGGTGCTTCTATAAAGTACCGACTAGGTACTGTAAACGGGTTATTTTTATTTTTCATGTTTCATAAATTTTTGTTAGTCAATAAAAATATTTTTAGCACTTTATATTGTTCTGTGTGTTGTGTAAAGAGTACAATAGTTACAGTCATACAGTCCTTGTAAACTGTAACTGTAACTGTTCTTGTAAATCACTGTCGTCAGTGTCAACTCATTCTAAATCTTAAGAACGACAAGCTCTTGTGAAAACCAGGAAACAAAAATACAGTCTATTTCACAATCGCAAAACAGCGTCTATTTGTAAAGGAACCTTACTCTTTTAAGTCGCTGTTCCTTCAGAGAAACAGAATAAGAACGTCAAGACTTCTCGTTTCACTTTTCAGTGCTTTTTTTACTCAGCTTGACAACTGGAGCATGACGGTTCCCAAGAAACACAAGAAAAAATGAAACCCAGGCAGCCTGAGTAGCCACCCCAGCGAAGAAATATCACTTTCAAAGAGCAATGAAGGGAAACAGGGCATGGCTACAGTGGTGGCTCAGACGCTTGAGAAAGCTTCAGAGGACTGTCTGAACTTCAATTTCTTCCTCAGAAGTGATTTCACCTGTGAGAAATCTGGGAGAAGCCGGGTTTGTTAGACTTCTTATTTCCTTAACAAGCCGTTCAACAAGATGAACAGGAGAGGCAACGGCAGACTCTTGCTGGACACGGATATCAAGACTGGGTTTAACCAAACCATGAGCACCTGGGTCTGGTTATATCCAACTCGTCCAGTCTCTCACACCAGAACCCAACGATCCCCAAACGGCGTCTCCTCCAGTAAGACAATGTACTGTCATGCTGTTGGAAGTTTGTTCAGCCCCTCGCTCAGCCTTTCACTTATCTGCCCTGCAGCAATTTGTTATTGAGGTTTTCAAAATTAGGACCTTTTCTCAGAAAAGAAAACTCAGTTTCCTGAACCTTACTTTGGTGCAGGCTAAAGAAATTGTACATAGTAAATATTTTATATCATTAAAGAATAGATCATTAAATCTACGCATATAACACATCCTTCATGGTGTAAGCGAACCTATTTTTTTTTTTACTATAAAAATTCCTTATTTTAGCATTATTCATTTCAGATTTTGCCAAGGTTAACCCAAGCCATAATTAGCAATCCCCTTTTGTACAGCATCATGGAGAACAAAACCATCGCTCACAATGGCACTCTAAAGCAAACTGTTGCCCTGTTGTCAAAAATGTGTCATTGTTATTAAGCCAATTAACGGTTTAAGGAAAGAGGACACATGCTTTCTGATCACCACCTGGCAACTTCACAAACCCAGTGAACTCTCAGTTCTGCAGCAGCCCACAGATACCCTAATGGCTTGTGGTTACACAGACCATGTAAACAGTCTCCATAGTTACTGATGACGCTACAGTGTTTGTCAGACTTTTCTTCATGAATGGCAAACGGGGTCATTCGAGACCACTCCTGTAGATAGTTAATAATAGTTTTCCACAAAACACAAAAAAATGTGATTCACCAATACTATTAGAAATACAGGAAATTAATTTGGTAAGAAAACCTCCAAACTATAATTTTGAGTGTTATGCAGGACAAGAAGGAAACACAACAATAACAGCCCAAAGGACAAGTCAGAGATGGACCTTTAATATCTCTCACACAACCACAACTGATCTTGCTTTCAAACTTGGGATCCTCAGGATACTATCATGTCGATATCGTGGCTGAGGAAGTAAAGACGTGGTTATGCATTAATCCATTTATCTTCAATGAATAAATGTGTATTATACAAAGACAGCTTCCAAAGTTCTAGAACCCTGTAAGTTACCTCTGCACAAAATGGACCATACACAATTATACAGCAACTAAGACACAAATTCAACTGTTAAAAACAATGTCCAAACCTCTTAAGAGGTAACTGTACTACAGTCTCAATGCTTCAGGGAGAAAACTGTAAATGGTAATGGTAAAGCACCATGATTTTCAAGTAGGTAACTGCGTCAACTTAAAAGTAAAGGTTTATTCCATGCTGAAATAAACGGACAACATTTCGGCAACATTTCACTTTTATAATATCAGAAAACCATACAATGTTAACTTTAAACCGATATGAAAACACACTTACTGATTACTGATCATAACCTTGTTTAACAATGAGCAAAGCTATACTGCAGTGGACCTGCTATGTAAAGCAGCCAGGTTTATTCTTTTTTTCTCTTTAGCTATACCTTGAAGAAAAAAAAATATATCTTTACAGATGGAACAAACATCACTGACAACAACAAAAGGTAGGGACACTACCAAAAATCACAGAATCCATGACACCTGTCACCATGAGGGAATCCCAGTCAAAGATACAATACCAAAGCCTTTCTTCTCAGACTAATTTTACTCATTACTGTGGGAACGCTTTTCCATGCTGTTTGGAATGAAAGTGCTGTACTTTGGGGTTTTATACATAAAGGATTCAATGCAGATGTATTACTGTACCAGGCCCAATTAAAAAAAAAAATTGCATACTAAAACTGCCAATATCATTGCATTGTGAGAATAGATTTAATGCGAAAAGGCCCTGTGTACAATGCACTGTGCTGTACATGTTTTAGACTAGAGCAAATCTCCAATTTGCGCCGTGTTACATCTGATTACATTATCTGCCTCAAAACCAACGAGATTTCTTTTGTCTTGAAACATGACTGTGGGGAATCACACCTTCATATAAAGGCTGTGATGAAATGCAAACATACTGATTAGAGCAGAAAGAAGCAATTCTACAGTAATAAGACTAAAAGCTGTTCATTTAGAGACCATTGGAGAAGCATAGCCAAACCATGCATTCAGTGAGATACGTCGCCTCAGATTATTCATATAAAATGATTCCTTTATAATGACAGTATTGATGTCTTTTGTAAACTAATAGATCTCGGATGTATTACAGAAATTCACCGTGAATGAATGGGATAGCTTATACATGAATCAGAAATTCTCCCATATCTCGAATTAAACTGTTATGTTCTTAGGCTGGCTTGAATTTAAAATGAGAGATTAAAATCCACACTGTGCTTCAGCACCCTTGTATATATCTTAAGCAGAGTATTTAGATTAGAAAGCAAAGGCCTCTCTGGATTCATCACTAGTGCAAGTGAGCTTTTGAACTTCTCTAGTGCAGAGGAAACTAGGTAGACCTGAGATGAAAAAAAAAAAAAACACACCTACTTACAACGCCTACCAAGGCGCACTTCCAGAGTACAGCCAGCCTACACATTTGTTTAATATGTAGGTGCTTCTGGATAGGATTACTGTAAAAAGAAATGATGTATACTGGAAAAGCACAAGTCTGAGCTGACATTAGTCTCTTTAGACCAAAGTTCATTTTCATTCAGTGGAGCATCTGACTCAATTGTACTTTATTACAAGACACCTGCCTGTGTCAAAAATAAAAGCACTAGTTTTGGTCAAAGTCAGATTACTTGGATTTTTGCCTTGCATCCCACCAGTGGATATCCTACTAAAAGCAAAAGTAAAGTTTCCTTTATTACCATCACAGAAAGAACTTGACAGTTAAACACACCCGTGCCATTAAACCATTTGAAAAGCAATTCTCTCTAGAACTTACACTTCTGTGATTTCTCAGGTTCTGACAGGACTAACATAAGTCAAATTTAGGGCAGCCATGTGACTGTGTTCAATGGAACTCTTCGAAACAGGATGGGGTATTTTACTAATCCTGCTAACAATCAAACTGAATGAACAGCTGCATGATACTGATTTGTTCAGAAGAGATTAGCACTTGTATTAAACAGCTGATCAAAAATAGGCATTGTAACACAACACCGAAATAGATTTAATTTTAAAAATGTCAAAAGGTCCTGACATATTTACCTTTAACATAACTGAAACCAACTGAACAACATTTAAAGCTTTTAAAGCCAAACATGACACACCAATCCCCTGATATTTCTTAAGAGTTCCGAGAACTTGTGGACTTAAGTTTTAACAAACACTCAAGTAGAGCAAGAGCTGACAAATGATTCTGTAGGTCAGGAGAAGTCACTGTCACAGAGGATAATGAATGACCAGATGAACTTGAGCACACTTAATCATTAAAGCTCACTTAAAGCTGGGTTTGTGGTATTTCAAAAGTTGTATTGGTTTTAAAAAGGGGAAATTAAGATTAAATGTTTCAAGAATAAATTATTTAAATACAAATATTATAACAACTTAAAAATGATTTTAATTGAGATTGGGTGTAAGATACAGACAGCTATAAAGTAAAATTGCAGCAGAAATGGTTACACTAACCTTAGTTATCTCAAACCTGAATGAAGATTCCAGACTAAGATGGCATTTAGGATTTGGACTGGAAACACGAGGAGATCAAATCATTACAAATTTGATCTGGGCAAATGTTTTTATATTCTTTTCCAAACATAACTAAACACCTTTGTAATAGGAAACCAGCAATATCTAAACACTGTGTCCCATATTAATCCCAGTTTAAAAGAAATCGGTGTTCTTTTATATGGAATCGATGATCCATAATGTTTACATCTGTACATAAAGTGTACAGATAATGGCACACACACACGACAATGTGAGAAACAGGTGCAACACGTAAGCCGTAATAGGCACAGCTACTGCTCATGTTAATGTGGATTGGTATCAACCTTAAACTGCGACACTGAGAAACCTTCAGAAGAGTTTTAGGAACATCTTTAAAACCACATCAATGGAGCCTGTTGATGCTGTCTGTGCTCTCGGATAGCAGGTGAATTACTATAAATTCACTTGACACTGTTGTTTCCTCCAGTGTTTTATTATTTCCTTTATTAATCAAAGGCCAACGTTACTTCAATGAATTGAAAAAAATTCACAAACAGATGCAAATGAATTTAACCCTGCAAGTCCAGGTTAAAGAGCAGTTCTACAGAGCATCCTTCCTGCTTGGAGCTGGGCAGCACAGGTACAAACTTTCTTTTATTAGTAAGTCTTGCAACTGTAAAAACATGTTTCCAGAAAAAAGCAGACTTTTGTTTTGCTATGAACATAAAAAAACAATGGCTTTGACTGTGGAAGGGTGATGCAGATTCTTGCCCAGAACTGGGAAATCAGGCAAAGAAGGTTCCAGCTTTCTTTCACTATCACAGTCTTGTAACTCTCTTTGGAAAAGACCAGACAAGGCTTTGTAACAGATCACTGGAATGGAGCCTGGATACAACATGGAGTCATTGCTCACAAACGTGGCAGCTATTCGTTTATTTACTCTTGTTATACAGTACTAGTGATATGAATCCTCACAAAACTTACCTACAATTGTCACCCCTTCATTTTATTGTGTGAAAAGCTGAACTATTATCATCCTTGGCAGTCACATAAACAGAACACGCGAGCGAACACTTACCATTTTCAGTGTGTCAACAGCCCTGAAGCAACTGATCGATTGAGACTCAAAAACATCCAGCGGTAATTTTGCCAGTAAGTCACATGACCAGTCCCATGTCGCTAATTTAAGGTAAGCAATGCTTAAGAACAAGCAAGCTGCATTTTCAGAACCAGTGGGGGACCTTCGCTGCTTTGCAACATTACGAAAAACGACAAATCTTTGAAATACCAATTTTTCGAACAACATGACAACTCTATACATTTTCTTGATATGTGCACAATCACATAAACTCCTAATGGATAGTACATAACTAATATTCCACATGCGTATGTAGATGTTTATCTCCCATTTGTGTTTTCCTTTTGTTTGTCCTACATGAAAAGGTTCTAATTTACTTAAAAATAAGCAGAGAGGGTGCTTTGAAAAATAATTCACCATACCTTAAGCAGGTATTTTCTAAAAATCTCTGCATCCAAGTGACTCTCAAAGCAGTGCTGAAATAAAGTGCATGGCTGGGATATTTCCTACTGGGTAAACCATGGTCAGGAACTCTGAATGAGTACTGGCTGCAGGAATGATGACTGGGACAATCTGACCAAATATTTACAATTCAGACTGTGGGAAGGTTTGAAAGGGAAATTAAAAACACAGTCCAAAACCATAACACACACAGTTCTACGAGGCATGGCTATGGGCATTTTCTTATGGCAGTGATCTCATGTGCTCTGCCTGTGCAAGCAATAGCAAGAACAGGGTCACACACAAAGAGAAAGCGGCTTCTTCCCCAGATGTTCAGATGTAGGGTAAGGCAGAAGACTCGACACTTGCGAGAAGCAGCTCACTTAGGTCAGAGAGCAGAATAAGACACAGCTGCACACCCGAGGCTTTTATCAGCCCTAATCTTGTGCAGAATGTTTAGAAAAAGAAAACTTTTAGCACAGAGCTTCTCAGAAACCGCTTCAGGGGTGTCGGGGGGGAATTGAGCTGCTCATTCATATTTGCGGTCTTGCTTATGAGTCTGTTCAAATTGGCATTCAAATGAAACTTTGGGCTTAAAACAAAAAACGCACACACAAAAAACAGAGCTGTGCTCAAAAGTTCACTCATCCAGGCAACAGGAGCTTGAGGGCTCTTCCTCAGCCCTACTTACTCAGATCCAGCACGTCGTCGGTTTTGATGAGGTCCTCCTGCCTCGTGAGAGGGAGCTGGGTCTCCGGCTCACCCTGGAGTTGTACGGATAGCGAGCGCAACATGAAGAAGACACGGATCGCCTGCAAAGATCGACCACAAATACTCCTCTTAGACATCAGGCACGACTCAGGAGCGTCTCCCCCACAGGGTCCATCTCTCTAGGACATGTCCAGACTTAAGCACCAGCCAGGATTTCACCTGCACCTCGGCAGCTTCTCTCTTTAAGGTTTGGACTGAATCAGAGCCAATATAACTGTAGCCAGAAGGCTACTGGTTTTAGTTTTGCTCTCTTGGGCTCTGGGATAAGATCTGAGCTGCGACTCGACTGACATGCGTCAGACGACACTACTTAACTGACTTTGGGCTCATGTGTCTCGTAAGTTCCTATCATGGGCTTAGAAAGATAGTTGGGAAAAACATTTTCAGCAAGGAAATTACTTTATCCCTATGAATTAGAATGAAATAATACTGTGTAGAAGATCATTTAAATCTCGAATCAAGATTTCAGAAAAATGGCAATACTTAAAAGGACATTTTAAGATGGTGCAAAGCAACTTTTAAGTAAGAACTAGTGTATAGACCAAACTGTAGGTCTTTTTACAGTAGTAAAAATAAATCAGGATAATCTAGAGATAATACTAATTTATGTTACCCTTAATTAGCTGGGTTAAAATGAAACCCTACATGTGGATGTAAAAATATTGACATGAGTCTAAAAGTTCTATTGAAGTGCTGTTCTGACAAGGTTCAGGAACAAAAAGCTTCATATTAATAGCATAAGGAGAAACGGCCCACTTGTTAATATGCATGTTTGCAAGAACAGCTTTTCTTTCTCAATAACAGAGGCTATCGGTTCAGAGAAATTTCCAGGAAAGACAGAGCCAAGACTTCACAGGCACTAAACAGTAATAAAAAACTGTACGACACTGATTTTGTTTATTTTTGGTGGGGGAGTGGGCTGGAGTTATTTCCTAGAACAAGTTAAATTTCTCAGGAGTCTATTCTCCACCAGGCTAACATCTCCAAGAGCAAAATGATTCTCACAGTTTAAACTGACAATCATCTTGAAATACAGCCTCTTCTAACAGACACGTCTTTAATTGGATCCATTTTAAGATGCAAAATGTTATATTTCATATGTTGACTTGAATAGTGGGTTGCTGCACAGCTGTAGTTCTGAGATTTTTCCATTTTAAATAGATTTCCTCTCAAATCTGGAGCCTCTTTACCTTCAGTACAGAAGTTAAGAATGGAAAACCCATCCTTCCGTTACATGACATTGCCATGAGATAAAGATTGCACTGACATCTCTGCAGGTCATTACAGTACAGCCCTGAGCTGCCTTAGTGTTGAGAGTGTTGCAATAATAATAATAATAATATTAATAATAATATTAATAAT